CTTTTTTACATTTAATTTTTTTGAACCTCCGAATTTTAGACACGAGGAAAATATTTTTTAAATAATTATAAAATGTACACTAAATCATTATTTTTAAAATGTAGGCCTTTATGAGCCTACTTAATTTGATATGGTTTTGATATTAATGATCAAAATATGCATAAAACCACACGAATACAGTGGCTCTACTCACCTTGGACTTCCTTCCGCGTACGGTAATGTCTCAATGACCCAGGCTCCGATATTCAGATTTTTTTAATGCACAGAATATCATGCTATTTCATATTTAATATAAAACAACCATTAGTGTATTACGCCTAACTGATATAGACTATATTATATATACATATTACAGTATACGGTATACATTCATTCATAGTAATAAAATGAAAGATGAAGTAAACAGTTGTATTAGGTATTTTCTTTTGGAACGGTAGATTAATCTACGATACTATCTATTCTTTTTTATATAGTCGTCATGAGATATAAGGGCACCTGATCAACGCAGTACACAAGCCAATATATAAATTTAATTCTATCCATATTTTGCACAGCTAAGTCAAGACACTGTAACGAATACTCAACAGATGCTGCCATATAAATTAAAATGCACCTCGACCTATCTGTCCGAAGTTGAATCCACGTTGGGCTGATGAAATGAACCGTCTAGACAACGAACTTTGGCCAACGTCAGATCAACGTTTGTCCAGCCTGTTGGGCCGGCGTCTTTCCAACTTTAAAATCGACGTTGGCCCGATGGAAAAACGAACGTCTAGGCAACATCAGAAAAGGAATGTTGGCCCAACGTAGTTTGATGACGTTGCATAAACATATCGGCCCGACGTTGATCCAATTAGTCGGACCGATGTCTTTCCAACTGGCTAAATCGACGTTGGCCCGATGGAAAAGCGAACGTCTAGGCAACATCAGAAAAAGAACGTTGGCCCAACGTAGTTTGATAACGTTGCACAAACATACCGGCCCGACGTTGATCCAACTAGTCGGACCGACGTCTTTCCAACTGGCTAAACCGACGTTGGCCCGATGGAAAAACGAACGTCTAGGCAACATTAGAAAACGAACGTTGGGCCAACGTGGTTGGACGACGTTGCACAAACATTATCGGGCCAACGTTGTTCCAACTAATCGGGCCGACGTCTTTCCAACAAGCTGAATCCACGTTGGGCCGATGGAAAAACGGCCGTCACGCCAACC